TTCACTGCGTTGCAAACTTCTGACTGAAATTATAATACCCTGCAAGGGTATAAAAATAGCTGCCCCATCATTTTTAAATATATCAATTTAATTTAATAATTTATATATTTTTCTATATTTAAGTATTATATTGGTATTACATATGCTTGAACTTGCCCAAACAGTAAAAACATAACTCAAGAAAAAAACATAAAAATAAAATATTGTGTCCCCTTTCAGCGGAAAATTTACCCAAAACTTTAAAAATCGTTCTAAATTAATTTTTTTTTTTAATAATTTAATTTAAAAATAGTTTTTCTCATGTTTAGAGCAAATCGCCTTGAAAACAAGACAGATTTTCTAAATACGACTTGGCCTTCCGTTTTAAGGGCTCCTTATTAAGGGTAAATTTCTAAATAAACGGAGGAACATTGTATATTTATTGCGATTTAACAATTTTTATGAGTGTAAATATGGTTAATAAGAAAACAACTCGTAATTCTTATTAAAAGCACTCAAGAATGAAAACTGAAACTCCCCAAATCAACTGATATGTTAAAGTTCGAAATTCCCCGCATATCGAGCATTTATACTTTATCAGAAATCTTAACACCCAAAGTCATGCAAAACTCTTCAAATGGGAAAATTTCCCCTCGTTTAAGACTTTCCCCATGTATGCACATGAGCTAATTCCAAATAAATAGGAATTATGTCAAATGTTAGTATTGAAATTCCACAACAATAAATAAAATCGGAGTGGGGGTTATGGAAGGACCTAAGTCAACTCACAATGCCTTGATAGCACGAACGAAAAACAACAAGCATTACGCCCAGTTAATGGAGTCCAGACATCGATCAAACAACAAAGGAGAAACACTCACTCCCCAGAATTCGCCAACCAATTGCAGAGGGTTTTCCATTAAAATCACGCGATATTTGTCCACTCACCGCTGGGTAATACTTCATGGGGAGGGATATCCCCATTCTTACAGCCTGACACGTGCTCAGGGAGTCGCCTTCGTGTTCACATGTACACTGGCTATACGACATTATTGATTTTTCCGGTTGTCGGCTCTTTGAACTTCCTGCGACACGTGTCCTTGACGGCGGGAGGCCAACTAACCCTACAATCTGGCGGTACCCGGTCAATGTGAAGGTGAATAATGCGATTACTTCAGTGGCACAGATTTTAAAAAGGAGTTTAAGTTTTTGAAGAAAATTTAAACAGAATCATTTTAAAATCATGTCAAATTTTTTTAACTTGAAACTGATATTTTAAGATTACATATAAGATTATAAGTTTGATAAAATAGATCTTTTACAATTAATAAAATAATTGTTTTATTTAGTTCAAATATTATTAGCTAACTGCGAGTCTAATAATTTTTAAGACTAGATATTATCTTTCCTGTTTATTGCTCAAGTATTACTTTCTAATATCAGGTATGTTCCTTTAATATCCTTTTAAAAGTCAGTATACAGCGCCACTGGCTTAAGAACCTTGCCCAGTTTTTGTAGCCAGAAAGTCTCGGCTTTCTGTCAAAGTCTGAGTCAAAAACGACTTTAAATCAACACTTGACAGCTCCTAGAAATTTATAAATTAATTATTGTTTCTCCCAAAATCAAGTTCTCTTCAAAACGAAAGATTTTCATCTGAATAATATGTATATATGTATGTCTTATATATAGTTAATCAAGCCATTGATAAAGAATTATTTCCCAGAAAAAAATATAAATTATATCATAAATTCAGTACGTCAATAATTTTTTCCAAAGAATACAAAAACATCAAGTACTTTATGGAATATATGTATACACGAAGATAATGCAGAATAATATTAATAAAGTATGAGTTATTGATTCATGAACAAAACCAAATGACTAATATTTTAATAAAGTGGTACTTTAAGTCGTTGGGTCATATCCGTAAAGAGTATGCCGACCTGAGAATCCTTGAGACCTTGGGAGCTCTGGTTGAGTTTGCCCGGTGTGCGTGCAATTCGCCAGTTAACCTCCGTTGGCCTTGGCCAATTCCGGGTATTTGTTGTGAAATAACCTGGGCTGAGGTCTACCGGATTTATTTGGGAGGGAGAGAGGCGGTAAGAAAAATGAAAAGATTTAATTTTCAACTATAGGCAGAGTCCTTTATTGCGACTTAATAAAATTCGTTGAAAAGAATGTTCAAAATCTTTTAGTTTATTTTATACTTTTTCAAACTGTAAAGTTAAAACAACTTGTACACGCTTAGATATTTAACGCATTATGACCTGTTAACCGTTTTGGCTTTTTCATTTATACAATTTTAACTACCATATACAAATATAAGTACCATACTAAGCCAATATGACCATACTAAGGAAGATGACTTTATACCAGCATTAATTATTATTCATATTGATATTATTAGAATTGTTTTACCAGAAGTTCATCTCGGATTAAGTACATGCTGTGTATACATTTTTAAAATTTAGAGTATACGGTTGATTGAATTATGGTTTTATTTCCTTGATAGATTTATAGATTAAAGTTTAATCTATTTAGTTTAATCATTAAACTATAAAAACTATTACTGAAAATATAGTAGTTTCGATTGGCCATTCTAGATTCTTGATGCATACTTTTAAAAGGATTTGCAAAAATTAAGGACTTATTTTATTTATCTTAGCAAACATCAAATTCCATTCCTTTAAAACATATATTTTTCTTATATCCTGCAGCAAAAGAATGGGCAAATTGCTCGGCAATGCCGCGTACATGGAAGTGTTCTGAACAGCAAATTTTATTACGAAAATCCGAAGCTAAGCTACAAAGTTACTTAACCAAGAAATTTTGAAAGTGGCTGACTCGGGCAACGTCGTCGGCTTCAGCACCGGCACCGCCGCCCGTCCCCGCCCAATACGTGTTCCGGCCGAGACCAGAATCCGCGGGGCGGAGGGGGCGACGGATGACAAGCGCACGACCGTGCGTCGACCGCCGGACAACCCGTCGTTGCCGGCGGAAGGCAGCGGAAAGCCGAACCGAACGTGTTGCCACAGCAATGCCAGGCAGAATTACTGGGAAACAAAGTGTGACGGAGGGTCGGCACTGAGCAGATCTGATAAACAGATATGGCTATCTATATATCGATCGATGCACAGAATCACAGAATACACTTCCGAAGGAAGAGGTTTTGACGCGGTATTTATACATACTCGGCGCGGAATCTGTACTTGGGAATCACAAGAGCACAACCAATGCAATGCGCCGGTCAGGTAACCCAGCAGTACCATTCGGGGTGGGTTTCGGTTGTGGAAGCCTGGGTACGTACATATGTAGGTGCTTGTAAAATCGTAAAAAATATATTACAAATTATAAAATAATTTAAAAAAAAAAGTAAAATAAAAAGAAAATGAAAAAAAAACGTATTATTAAATTTTGAATTTTAAACTTGCCCACTGTGGGGTTTGAACCGCTGTCATTTGGTTGAAAAATGCAGTGTGTGCCACACACTGTGTGGACGCGGTAACTGACAGAAGCTGCCTTGTACGAGTATCATAGGCGTGAGCTATGTTGGTTATTTTCATTTAATTATAAGCCCTTTAGAAATAAATAATTTAGAACAGGAAAATATTTAAAAATTAAAATTAATTTTTATGTATTAAGTTAAAAATAAAATAAAGAGTCTTTTAAAAAATATTTAGGTTAGTTTTTCAACATAAAACACAACAAATTCAACATACTAGTAAAAATTTCACTTTCCTTTTCTATGAGGCCCCAAATTGATTACAACTCAAACTCATATTTGCTAATTTCTTTATTTTCACATATTTTGCAATAAGTATTTTTGTATAATTTATGTATCTCTCTTGCACACTCTGTTGCATTTCTCATATGTCCACAGTTACCACATGCAAAGTTAATGCAGTTTGCCGGCAAATTATCGTAAAACTTACATTAAATATCCCTCAAATCTTAAATTCAATTGCTTTTTCTCTTCCTTGTTTGTTATATTTATATATTTATTTTTGTTAATTTTTTGTTTCTTTTGGGAAATAGAAAACTATTTTTGCTTTTGGTTTTGTCTTTTACTTTCCTCTGTTCTGCGGTTATCAATAGTCTCTAATTGAAGTTATTCTCTTGAGTTATTTATACGATTTATGTATGTAGTTTGCATATTGGCTATCAATACTTTGGCCTGTTGGATCGATATCGATGTATGAGTTATATATGTGATTTCTCGGACTTTTGTTTGGACACGAAACATAAGGTGAAGTGCTTCTTGTTCGTTCGTTATTGGTTCAGTGAGTTGCGTAAATAGACTTTGTATTTTTGTTCGTTCGCAAAAAGGGACGGTAAAAATTACAATAAAATCATTTTGAAATATGTATGCAATTTGTTTTGTTCGCTTCGTTTCTCTCGCCTCCATATGTATATGTTTCAGCTAACTGACATATTTATTTAAGTATATAAATATATTTACAATTGGTTAGAGCTGTTCGTTCTCCTTTAAATAATTGCTATAGGCAACTCCGAGGAGTTTATCTGTGAATGCATGAATGGACGTTGTGGTTGTGTGTGTGTGTCTGTGTTTATTAAATATAAATTCAATTTAATGGCTCGGTAATTTACACAATATACGATCTTGTATATATAAAATTTCATGTAGAACATCGATCGATCCCTTCCGATTGACAACGAAAAAACATCGAGAACACAAATAGAAGCAACAAAGTTAGTTTAGTTTCTGTTTCTTGGAGGGGTTCGGGGTTGAGTAATTAAAATACCACTACAGAAAGTGCTCTGGCTGCTGTCACTACTTTCGATTTGTGTTCAATTCGCTACGTAATAATATCCTCTATTTAAACTTTAACGCGTTGTCTCGTTATTTTGTATTTTGTTGGCTAAGCTGCTTGGTAGTCATCATAGTTGGTTAATTCTTATTTAAACAATACATCGTCTTAAGGCTGTTTGACATAGGCAGGCAAGCCATTATTGCTGCAACTTTTATAAATTATAAAGAAATGAAAACAAATCAGCATTTACTGGCTAATATTTTTATATTTTTTTGCAATTTATTAATTAAATTAAATAATAATGCACAAATCATAAGGTATGTCTGCATAATTAATGCTAAATAATCCACAAAAAACTAGGTTTTTTTCTTCATTGCAAATAATAATTAATTTCCTACGACTTCTTCATTTGAGGACGGCCACAATACCGCTCAATAAATACAAATATCTTCATCATCATTCAGAATCGTCTTTGAGACGAGTAGCTAGGTTGTTGCTACTCTTAGTTCAATGGCTGAAAACCATCGGTTACATACATATGTTATATTACGGCCCAGTTCGGCCTCTGGTTCTTTACGTACATTAACGGTCTTGGGCCTTGTGAAAATACTCTCGGTTATCGGGGCAGGCCAATTAATACGTGGTTCAGTTGCCAATATCGTCAATTTCATGCGAGTTTAACATCTCAACTTATTTATCGTTTTTGGGTTTGTCAATTTTATCGCTTGCGCACAGCGTTGATAACAAAAATCGAAACAATCAACGCGAAAGTTAACAAAACTCGAATCGAACCAAACGTAAGACGTAATCAAATTCACATTCACGTCATGTGAATATATAGAAAAATACAATCCGTTACGTTATCATTTAATCTTTTGCTTAATCTTGCCATCTTTTCGTTTAATTAAATTAATTGGACGTTTAAGTAACTAACCATTCTCGTCTGCTTCCTCGTCTAACACAAACCTTTCATCTAACTAAACTTTCAATAAATACAAATACAATACAAACAAACGTAGTTATAGTAGAGCTGGATAGTTGGATAGAGCCTGGACATGTAGGATATCGCGTGTACCTTCCTCTCTCTCTCTCGCTCGGCAGGAACTCCAACGAATTTACAACTTAAGCAAAGTATAAACCAAAGCCAAAAGTTTACGCTGCACGCTGATCTTATGTTAGAAGGGATTGGTGTTGCCGCTCGCTGGATTCCTGCTCGATGGACGCGTACTGAACGAGGACTTGCCGCTGGTGCCCCGCTGGGCGGGCATTGGGCGACGCACGTGACGCATTTCGCTGTTTTTGAAAGGGGGGAAAAACAGAATATTTGTTAGTTGAGGATACAGAACTTTTTAGATTAAATCTTTAATCGATCAAATTTGGTCAACAAGGAATTTTTGATATGGAGTGCTAGGAGTTTTCTGTCAAAGATAACTAAATAGTATTTTGCAAGCATTTTAAATTAAGGAAATACAAATTTTAAAAGGTTTTAGTAATTAATTTAGTATAAATAGAGTGAAATTTTGAGTTCTGGGATCATAAGATTTCATTTGCATAGTTCAAAGCTTCTTCTTTTCAGCTATCAAATATATTTTTAATATTTTAAAACATTTTAAACCATACAAATTTGATCGATTTCACTTCAGTTAAATTTCCAACGATTCATCAGCACAATCAGCGTTTTTGTATTATGTAGTTAGGCGGATTCCAGCAGCAGGTTAGCGCATGCAAACTCATTTGGCAGCCATATACATGCAGGTGCTTACCGATTGCTGGAGTCTCTGGGGGTTTTTTTTTTTGGGGGTGTAAAAGGGGAGATGAGAAGAGGAACTGTGATGGAGCGATAGGGATGTGAATGTGTGTGTTTTTGTTTTTTTGGAAGGGTTTCTTGATGATGCAGCTGACTTTTAACGACCCAAGTGCACCCACCGGTCCATTTCCATCTCCTCAAGACGCTGGGTGAGGGCCAGCTTTTGCTGGACAGCCAAGCGTAGCAGCTGGTTGAGCGTCTTCTTCTCCTCCTCGGCAGCCTCCAGCTGGCGATTGAGATCATCCACCTGAGTAACGTACTCCTCGCAGCGTGCGGCAAACATGGCACGCAGACCTGGTAATAATTAAACATGTTAAATGTAAATCAAACGAAGAAATAGCACCCACTTACTGGAGAAGGTGGCCGCATCCTCCTTGAGCAGTCGAAGCTCATTACGCAGCTTGGACATGGTATCGCTGACGATGATCTTCTCGTTCTCGTACTTGGACTTAAGATTGGTGAGAGCCACCTCGGCGGTTTGCTTGTTTGACTTGAGCACGTTGCGCAGAGTTCCGATTTGCTCGCGTTTTACGGACAGCAAACTCTTCAACTTGACTATCTGCTCCTGCAGCTCCTCCATCTCCTCGGTGTTGACCTTCTCCAGGGCTGTAAAGGGTTTTATTGTTAGATTACATAATAAATAATAACTTATCCTTATTAAATACTCACCATCGCCTCCCTCGGAGCGCACTTTGTGCTTGTTCATATCGATGGTATGCTCCACGGCTGTCTTCAGATGCTTGATCTGATCGCTGACCGTGTCCACGTACTTCTTGATCTCCACGGAATCCGCCAGGCCCTGCAAATCCTCCACGATCTGTGGCTTGGCAATAAAGACATCAGATTTGAACTGCGATTGGATGGCAGTCAGTGAGTCGTTCTCGAAGCTGCAATGCAACAGGTTAAGTATAAACTTCTAGATTCTTTCAATTTTCTGTAAAAAAAACTTACCTCATATCGTCGCTCTTGTGATCCAGCAGGACACGCGTTGGCGTTTCCCCATTGACGGTGCACACCAAGTGGTACAGCTGGGCCAGATCGTCGCTGAGAGCCACCAGAGTACTCCGAGCTGAGCCCAGGCTTTGGCCAGCATTCTGTGAGATGTGGGTTAGGGTCTGCACATCGCTCTGCAGATCCAGGGACTTTTGTTCCGTGGCCAGGAGCTTGTTCTTCAGGTTGGTCACCTCGTTGCGCAGCGTGGTGGTGGCATCCGTGTAGTTGAGGCCCTTTTGGAGCTCGGCAATGTCAGTCTTGAGGCCGTCAATCTCCTTGGCGGAAAGCGTAAACCAGTTGGCATACTGCGAGATCAAAGCACGCAGCTGCTGTTCCAGTTCCTCCTTCTTGTGGTCGCTCTCCTTGCCGCCCTGTTCCTTCACATCAATCTGCTTTTTGAGCTGGACGAGGGCATCCACATGGGCAGCGAGAAGGGCCAGGCGGGACATGAAGTTCTGCAGCTCGTTTTGAGACTTGTCTAGGCTCGTCTGCGCCTCTCGCAAATTGGCCGTCAGATGAGTCTTCTCACTCTCCATGCTCTCCAGCTGCTTTTCCAGCTTCTTCAGCTCGTTCAGATGGATCTCCGAGAAGAGATCGCACTTGGTGCCGTCGGGAGACTTCAGTTCGGTGCTAAGATCAGCCTCTAGACGCTTGAGCGCCAGATTCTCCTCCTCGCCATCCGAGTTGTTGCTGGCGTTGTCCTCCATGTTGCTACGTATGCTGTAGGCCAGGTTGCTAATGTGGTACATGGACTCGCGGTTCAGGTGCCCGTCCAGCTCCTTCTTCAGCGCATATTTCGCCTCGCGCTCACCCTGCAGAGCCTCTAGAGCCTCCTCCATTTGCTTCTCGGCAATCTTCTTGAGATTACCCAGCTCATCGACCTGTTGATTCAGAATCTCAACTTCCTCGGTGAGGCGACGAATCTCATGTTTGGCACCTTCAAATTCCACCTGGAAAATTACAAAAATGTTATTTTCAAGACTCCCTTCGAGATGGATGTTGTCCTTAGACTGACCTGGGAGCTGCGCAGGTTGGAAACCTGCTTTTGCAGCGATATGTTTTCCTCCTCCAGCTCCGAATACTCGCTCAGCATGCGCGTCTCTCGGAACTTTAGGTCCTTTAGCTCGGACTTGAGACGCAGTCGCTCCGCCTCATTGTCGGTTTTGTCCCGGCCAAAGTCCGAGTTCTCCTGGAGCATTCTGTCGCGCTCATTGCGCACCCGCTCCAGCTCATGACGCAGCTGCTTGATCTCGTTCTCCAGATCAAAGATCTGCATGGTGAGGGATGTCTCCCTGGCAGCGGACTCATTTAGCAGGGCGTCCTCCTGCTCGATGCCTGTCTTGTTGGTTACCTTCTGCGAGGTCTGGAACTTGGTCAGCGCCTGCAATAATCAAACGGAAAAAAATGTGAAGCACGTGTCTGATGAGGGAGGCGTGAGACAGAAGTGTTTTGCACCAAAGCAAAGTAATCATAAAAGTTTCCTGCCTGCCCACCGCGAATGCCAGCGATTTTATTGCAGCCATTTGCATGTCCCACACAATCACAAGGGAGGGGATTGGATTGGAGTGCCACGAGAGGGGCGTTGGCCACTCGGGAGCTCTTCTGCCGCCAGCCTGACTGTTTGGTCTGATGCTGATGACGCCCCTGCCTTTCACTGGCTTTTTTATTTTTTATTAAATTCCCTATCTGAATTGCTGTGAGAAGGGGTGTGTTGTATGAGAGACGAAGAAGATTCTTTTAAATAATTTATAGGATTCCTTCTTGTTATATGAAAAGCACAAAATTGAGAATTTTAAGTTGTCATTTGGTTACTTAAATAATCAAGAATATATAAATTATTTTTTAAATTGAATCATATCTAGATTTTTTAATTTTAAGCTTTTGACATTTACAAAACTAATTTTGAGATGTATGATTCCTTTCAGGGTTATATTTTTGCTTTTTAATGACTATTATCTTGTTGCATTTAGAAATATCTTTTGAATTTAATGCGGATAACATCTTAAGACACTTATCCTTGCCTCTGCCCACTTGATGTGAGTCTGAGTATATCGTTAGAGGTAAGGTCAGAGGTAAGAAGATTATTTATAAATTATAATCGCAGATATTTGCTATTCCTATAACAATAAACAAATAAATAAATATATTTTTTTATAGAAGTGCCATAGAGTAAGCTTGGCCCGGCAAAGAATTATCTTTCAGAATCCGCCTGTAATTATTTATCAAGTCCAGTGGGAAATATGCATCCACTGGCAGCAGTGAGTGGGCGAAAGGAGATAACGGACTCGTTGGTCTGCAATTATTGGATTTTGTTAATTGCGACTGGCTTTCCTTTCCAGGCAGTGTTGGAAATCGCATTAAAGACGCAAGAGAGCACATAAAGGTTAACGGTGGCCAGAGACACGCCCAGGATTAAAAGCACCAGCGCAAAGGTAAACACGAATGTGGGATGTTTATGGGGCCAGGCCAAGCCCTTAACTGGGCGCTCGAGACCGACCACGTCCATATGGTCAGTCAGTGGGAGTGGAGCCAGTATAAAATGGAAAGAACGAGAGCAGGGTTAAATGTGTGGCTCATATATTTAATCCTGTGGCGGCTTTAATTGAAATCTCAACCCCTAACGTCTCCGTTCGTTGCTCGTTGGGCATATTTTGAATGGGGGCCATTTGGAGTACGTGCTTCACGAGTTCCTCGCTTATGATCATCATCATCATCGTCGTCATAAAAACTGTGCCTCAAACAAAATTCTCAAGTGGTAGCCAGTGGAATGACCACGTTTCAGGGATTTGGCAAAACGGAAACTGCATCAAGTTGTAGGAGAAACTTTCCTCCTTTGGCTTTGGTTCTCCCCTAAAAGCCATGTAATTAGCATCGCCTCCTTAACCCCTTTTATTTGGCCAACCTTCTCTGCACACAGCCAACACTCTTTTCATTCCCAGGTTCTATTTCTTTTTTTCTGGCCATATAATTATCGCCAGCTACGTCAGCTCTCGTTGTTCTTGTTGTTTTTGCCTTCTCAATTTGACAATTGCACACCCACAACACAAACTCAGAAGCCCCAACACATTTCCCCTCCTTCCCCTTTAAGCCAAGTGCATTTCGTTAATTAGTGTAATCTGAAGAAGGGGAAGGAGGCGGAGAAGGAGGCGGAGGTGGAGGTGGAGGCGGAGGCAGAGAAAGCAAACAAAAGGCCAAGGCGGGTCCAAAGAGTCTCGGATGGAATTTCAGTTGCCTAAAGCTGTCACACATTCATGCAACTAAATTGCAAGGCGCCTCTTAAATGAGACTCAACTAGACAACGACCAAAAAGGAAGCTGAATTGGGGAAGTCGAAGGGGTAATACACTTAGTGATACAGGATATAATTGTTTTATTCGGGGGTAAATTGTAGGGGTACTGAAATCCCTTAAAAAGGTGACGTAAAGAAGGTCATATAGAACGTTTAAGATATTTTAGTTTACAAAAGATTTAAGGCTATTTTCATATACTAATTATGAGCCATCCGTTGCAAACTGAACACCAAAATTATAATACCCTTTGGTAGAGGGTAAGAAAAACCTTAGAGATGCGAAGAAAACGCTTTCCTGGCTCTGGCTAGTGGTAGATAATTATCAAAGGTTTTGGCTATGCGGGCGGTTTATAAAAGCATTCCTTTAGCTAATGAGAATACCAAAGGTATACCAGTATCATAAGATTACAGATGTACTTTCCACAGTCATTATTATCTCTCCATTTCAAAGATAAGGAAGTTATAATAGCATCTTCTTTGAAATAAGAACCAGATTAATTTAAGTATTTAAGGCTAAACAATTAGTTAGAATCTAGAAAAAAAATCCACACCTTTAACAAAACAATTATTCAAAGCTTTTCCTCAAAAGAAAAAAAATATAAGAATATAAAATAAAAACCAATTTTTTGTCACAGTGAAAGCGTTTGTTTAGTGACGCCATCGAGCGGGCAACAGGCCGCAAACAAATGACGGCATAAACTTTATGCAAATTAGAAAAGATTTTTAATTAACTCGAGCAAATATTAGCACAGTTCACAAGGGCCAGACAAGAGCAGAGCACTGCCATAGCCACAGCCACTACTATGTACTTGGCATAGGCCAGACACCGGGTCTGAACCACCCAGCCACCGCCTGCCCCTTAATGACAAACGCTCCCATCGCAGTGCCATCCCTTCCTTCCCTCGCTTATATCTGCTAGATTGTTTCACAATCCATGCCATGGTTGGGATTAGAATGCGAGAGATCCCGTCTAAATGGCCTAAACAGTGAGAGAAGGGGGGCCCAGTGCATTAGGGCACAGAGAAAAATTGCGTACTTTATATAAGAAAAATAACAAATTAACCAAATTTATATTCATTCTACAAGAAACCAAATTAACTAACACAGAATTTAAAATAAAATATCTAAAATAAAAAACTACGAATTACCAAAAGATTACATTATTTTTGTCTATGTGTATGGACAGATATAGAGGTACTCCCCGAACCAGCAGCTGCAGCAGCTGTTGCCATCAGCTATCAGCTCGCCGGGATGACTGCAATGAAACTCCTCCTGACCGAGGAGGCCACTAAAAATAGAGCAGATTGCCCACATTATGAAGGCGATGAGCAGAATTTTGGAGTGCACACACCAATGTCTGTGTTTGCCTTTGAGTTTGGGGCACTTACGTGGCAAAACAACAACATAAACAAGGAGCGACTATAACAATTTCCTCTCCTGGTCAGAGGAGTGGGTGGTCCAGTGGGTTTGGAATTGGTATAGAGAGTGGGTTCGGTTGATAAAGTATGCCATGAATGGCTGAACAGATTGCGCAGGGTGACACCACGCCCAGTTCGTTAACTGCTCCTCCTCCTTTCCAGTTCCAGTCCCGGCTTCACTCTCATGGAACGCATGAAAATTTAAATGTCAAAATGCCTGAAAGTGCAACAATAACCAGATACACACCGGGCAATCAATGTGGAAAATGTGCCTACAAATTGCATTTAAAAAATGTTACAAAAAAAAACTACTGCATTTTTGATTTAATAGCTTGAAAACATATTCTCTCAGTGCACGCTTAATGTAGGCCCTGCAATTTTTAACCCACACACGAACAATGAGTGCCAGTGTACCAGAAATGGGAAATGGAAAATGGAGAACCGTCGCATTTGTGGCCATCATGTCAATGCACCAGCTTGACACTCTCTCTTTCTCTCTGTGAATTTGAAATGTCGCCAAAAACGACAAAAGAAAACGACAACCAGAAAAGCGACTAAAACTGCAGCCGGAAAATTGCGAAAATCATTGCGAGTGTGTGTGCGAATGTGCGTTGACGGTGTGGAAATAATTTTTTTTTTAAGCATGGAAGCTGACACAAAAGAACTCAAATTACGTTCTCAACGAAATGCGAATTCGTAAAAAATATGCCAGATGCAGGGGCAAAAGGAAGCTGCGGGAATACCCTTTTGCTTCTCGCACTAAAAGGATACGGCGGAAATCTTGTTAAACTTAACCGTGAGTGTGCTAACAATGGTTTTGAATTTTAAAAGGACTTTAATGTGGTATAGTTTAGAATTCTTTAGAGGATTTGGTACAAATTGCACAGAAGTGTGATTTTGGATAAAGAATTTTCGTTTATTTAACAGCTATGACGGCATACTTAAACTTAAAGAAAGCACTTTTAAGGTGGTTGAATCATTTTGGTAAGTAAACTTATATCTTTGTATCTTAAAACAATGCAACTTATAACCAAGTTAACCACTGTTTCCCAAAGTATTTTCTCTGATATTCAGGTATGGAATTGAAATTTTAAAGCTATATCTAGAAACAATCTTTTCAAAATATGTTAAATACATAAATTCAAAGCTGATTAGTCTCTTGCAAAAACTAGTCTTTTCTCATTAGCAAAATCCTAAAATGGCATGATAATGTGCACCAAACACGAAGCCTTTCCACCAGCTCTATTTTTCGACTGCGTAAAAAGCCACACAAAAACGAATGGACTGACTACATATATACATAAGTAAAAAAGCTCCAACCATCAGCAGGAAATACGGAATGGACGCAGCGGGCCATGCGAAATCCTTGAAAGAGAGCGCCACTAAAAAAAAAAGAGAAATAATAAAGATTCGCTCCAGCTGCGAATGCTGTGCGATGCAATGGATGGGTTGCATAATGCACCGCGCATCCATTTCATGTCCTGTGCAAACATTTCGAGCGCATTTAACAGCCAATAGTCAGGAACACATGCAGTGAAATGCAATGGATGCGCATTCTAGGAAGAACGTGTTAAGAGCCAGCTTCCCTTACCATTTCTGGCAGACTTCCAATCCCGGCCAATTGGCGGAGCCTGGGCCAAAAAGTTTACGCAAATAAATTGCACCATCATTATGCAGGACAATCGCCAGAGCCCCTACCTCTGCTGGAAAACTGCAATTGTCACAACAGTTGCCCTCCGCCTGCTTGCATCCTTGCCCAGATTTTTGCTCATCATCGTCACAAGTCTGTGTACTTTACATTTTCATTGCTTGCAATTCATTGGGGAAAACTGGGCGGGTCGGGAGGGGAGATGGCTTCAGTTGGCGGGAAATACAACACTTTTCCCCCACCAACCATTTCCTTACAGCCGAGTCAGACAAACAAAAACAGTGTCTCTGCACTCGGAAGAAAAATCTTTGGGAAATAAGAAAACATGCCACTAGATCCCTGAAAATGTGTTAGAAATGGGGAAAAAGAAATATTTGTATGCAAAAATATCCTTGTGTACATATAAACTTAGTAATAACTTTTAAAATAATATAAAAATATATATACATTTCTATATAAAAAACAATATTGTTTTTATTTTCAGTGTATCTGAGCCGGTGCCGTCGACGGAAACATGTTTTGTCAGTGCTCAAGTGCCACATTTAACCCTTGCCAACTTAACCCGCCCATGGCCCCCATTGCGGCTGTTGCTGTTGCAGTTGCTCCTGCTCCTGCTCCTGCTGCCAGTTTGATTGCCGTAGAATTGCAATTTGCGCCAAAAGAACAGAACATCAGTGTCAAATCATTATAATTTTTTCCTTCTCGTCGGTTGGGTTTTATTTTCCCTGTTGCTCCTGCTCTACATCCTTTATCCTGTGGCTTTGACGTTGCTGCTGTTATTCTAATTGTTATTGTCTGGCATGGATTCGGCTAGGATAAACATTTGGCAGGATGTGCAAGGACCGTAAATTAAGTAGAGTAAGCCAAGCGATATTGTGGGATTTAGATAACGGCTTGGATTATTGGATAATTTTAGAAGAGTTTCATTAAAATGATTTATAAACATTAAAGAAAATTACTTAACTTCAAAGCCAATAACAAATTGTAAAACTTTCCATTTATTTTCCAACTTTTCCTTACATTTTTGATAGTTTTCCTGTCGTATATTAAATGCCACCAGCCAGGACAAATAACGTGATTAATTATTAAATTTTGTGTTAAAAACTTTTTGGGGTGGAAAGTAGCAAAGTTAGGCAACCGCACGGAGCGCACAAAACTACGCTGGACACGGGAATGTTCCTGCCAATGGACAGAATGTCCTTGATGGTGGCGGTGGCGCGATGCGATGCAATGTAAGCCATAAAATATGGCCCACACCCAGGCACCCGCACCCAAAGCTAAGCCCACACGACATGGCATATATATAGGGGCGTACAAGTGTTGGCCACTGCGTCCATCGTTCGTTTTATGGCCCTTGTTTCGGGCCCTTTTAATTGCCGCAGTTACAATCACCAGAACAACAACGTGTTTCCCCCAGCATTTGCCTCTGTTGTTGCACTAACTCTGATTCAGCTAACTGAATAAATTGCCAAATGTGGCTGACAGTTCGCAGGATTCCCCCCGAAAACTGGGTAAATATTTGTTCTGCGGTCCTGTAGCTGCCAATTTGCAGTTACAGTGATGGCATCGAAATTAGCAGTTTCAGGATAACCAGGATTTTCCAGCAATCAGAAGCATTATTTTTAATTTGTGGTTTCAAACCAGCAAGCATATTTATTCCAATATTCCGTTTGGGTTAGGCCTAAATTATATAATAACGACTCTATAACCATAGCAGTAATTGTGTAACATGTAATGGCACTCCCTGACCTGACCTAGACATAATCGAAATTCTATTGCATTAATGTCGAGTGGATGAAATATTTTCCGTGCCTCGGGCACTTTGGAAAATATCCGATTAATTTTAGTAAGCTAATTTCACACCATGGCCCGAAGACGGAAACTTTGCTCCGCCTTGCTCCCGTCGCCGCTGATTTATGTCACTTCATGGTGGGGTCGCCCACGGCTGATATCTTGATTACAAGTGGAAATATGTCCCCCTCCTCCTGCTGTCCCTGTTCTTACCCCTTTGCTCTGCAATTTTTGCCAAGTTTCCGAGTTGGAGGAGCAGAGCGGCAGGGACAGAAAAATGCCCGCAGTGACGTTGCCGTCGACGTTGCGAAAATTTTTAATTTTAAGCATCCATTAAAAACGTGCAATTGTGTGGGGGTGTGTGAGTGTGTGTGTTTGTAAGGGGGGAAAGAAGGGGCTGGCAGAGGGGTGTTGGTTTTGCTCTCGCACTTTTTGTGTTCTCGTAAAAGTTCAGTTGAGTTCAAATCCAACAAGCTGGAAACTATCAAGCCAAGGTACGAGTGCACCACCTGTCGTACAATTAATTGGCATGCTTTTTGTTCTAAAAGCAGAGATTCATGAATATAAACTATGTACATGTGTATATTCTTATATAAAAAATGTGTTTCTGTTGCTGGTGTTAACGCCCTCTGTTTTATGTCAGATCTTTCCAGTTGTAGTTTTATGACATATTTTAAACTGAGTAAAGCCTTCATTACTTATGTTCTTGGATAATTAATAATCTACTAGGGGAAATATAATATATTCCTTATAAATTAAAGAATCCTTCGCTTCTCTGGTGTTTGAACTTAAAGATCTCGATTTATTTTTCATAAAATAGACAACGAATGGAATACCAACATTTTGGATTATAAACTTTTTTGTATTCTGCATATTTTACAAAATCAATCTTGTAAATAAATAAGAATTATTTCTTGTTTTTCGATTAGATAAAGAATGTTTAGATACAAAAATATAACTTTTCCCAACTAGTAACTCCAATTAATGTTTATTTTCTGATCATAACGGATATTTAGGAATAAAGTAACTATAACAAATCAAAGAAACATTTTCAATGCGCTTGCAAAGCTTGCAATTTTTACTTTCGATTTTTGTGTTTTCCACTAAACAAAGGCCGGCTCTCTTTCTGGTTTCCAAAGAGCACCGAATGGAGTACATCAACGTCCACCTTAACGACTGGCGGTTCGACATTGATTAGTACACAATGCATTGGCTGACCATCTAACTCTCGACGGTGATACTCCTTCACGGCCGCTCTGGCATCTTCCAAGGATTTGAAAACAACCTCGGCAGTACCGGGTCGAATCACTTTAGCTTCGTACAGCGTTCCAATTTGGGAGAAGACCTCGCGTATATCGGAAGTGGTCACATATGGATCCAGATTGCTCACCAGAATGCGAAAACCCAGTTTATTCATAGACATACCGCGATGATCCTCCTTATCGTGGATCTGCTTAACTACAGAAGCCAGAATTTTCCGAGGTCCATGATCTAAGTCATTGCTTTTCGTCTTCTTCGGAGGAGTAGAACGGGGAGCATTGGACATTTCTGATTCATCATCTGTGTCCAAATTAATGGTGACTATTGGCGATGATGGTTTCTTCCTTTTACAGCCCACTTCGAGGGCGCAAATGATCTCTTCATCCTCCATGTCCTGCATATTGTCAAGATCTACATAGCCCCTGTGCTTTTTAAGTGATGGGTTGAAAGGGCGATGCAGGAACCCCGTGTTCATGGGGGGCAGGTACCGATTCCTACCATAGTTTGGTTGCCAACTGATGCTCCTGGCAGGTTTTACCGGCGGCGATGAAGACGACGACGACGACGGTCGCCACTTCCTATGATAGGTGTTGGCAGAGTCTTTTCTTTTGCGATGTGTCCCCTGGTAGTATCTATTCCGGTAATCAACTGAGTTTGTTGGCTTGTTGGACACACCTCGAGCAAAGTTAGGATTGCTCTTCCTGCGTAGCTCAATGATCTCGTCCAGACTCAGATTCTCGTCCATTATAACAAAATAAAGTTTTAATAATACTTTGACGCCAATTGAAGTGTCGAGAAATAAAGCGCAATTTTGTGAGGATGACAAGCGAATGAAAGGCAACTTTATTCGATACTTTTACTATCGATACTACCGATAGCTTACGGCTGAGGCAAAAACGTGACGAAATTCCCATCCTATATTCCTTTACAATATTTACTTACACTTCTTAATGATTAAAAAACATAAGTAAACACATTAAAATGTAAGACATGGATACAGAAGAGTTATTTATGAATTTAAAATGCCAATAAGAAAAATTTAAAGTTTTTAAAGAAGCGTTTTGATATTTTCCTGCTAGAGATGATAGTTGGCTGCGATAACACATGTTACTGAAATAATCGAAAATTGGTTTTGAATCAAATACCACAAGTTTATCTTCAAAAATCAGGATTTCCCCTAATATGCAGACTTTAACAATAAATTTCCTTAATAAATAGAACCCCTTTTACATACATATTCAGATTTTAGCAACTACATATGTATATTTCCATTCTATTTACTCAAAGAGAAATGTTGAAACATTTCCAGCAACTTGCTTTATTAACTGTTTTCACCTCTCTCCCCTTAAGCACCAATCAGGCCTAAACCAACTTTTGTTTTAGCAACCGCTTTAATTACCAGAATAACAAAGCCAAAATAAAGTTGGAAAAAGACCACAAAAAATGAAGAAACACAAAGCAGACAGCAGAGGAATGATAATAGACGGCAGAATGATTATTGTTTGTTTCCCCCATTTGATTTTTACTGGCGCAAAAAAAGGACGAAACTTTTCCCTTTCGCCTGGCAATGCAGTTCGAGTCCTGTAATCCGCTGCCAGGGGAAATTCCAGCGGAAATGCCTTTCGATGGCGAGGACTAATTGGAAAGGAAGGCTGGTTGAATGGGAAGTGGAAGCAGGACACAGGTGCAACGTGAAATGACAAAAATGGATTGACCGTGTTGACGGCGGCAAACAAAAGATACAGCGGCATTTTAAGCATAAAAAAACTAAGCTTAGACCTGTGTTGAGGCAAATTGAGCGAAATTGTTTGGAGAACATAGAGATTGGTGGACAGGGGAGTAACTGAGTGAGTGCGTTCACTGAGCCGGCTAAGAGTACCGCAAGCCCCTATTACAATATGAATACAGTGGAAATTCTATAATCCAAACCTACCACCTACATGGCGAGTGCTGATAGGTGACTCTCGAGACTGGACTTGGATTGAAGCCACATCCATCAGCTTAATGCACTAACTCATTTACTAAACAGCTGTTTCATTTAGCGAAGCTTCTCTGTGTATATAACACCAGCACGTGACCATATGGTCGATTTCATGATCAGCGAGTTGATCGCAATTATTTCTGCTAGACCAAACACAGACAGAGGCAGAGACAACAAACAACAAAGAGAGAACGGAAGAGGCGTTTAGAGAGAGAGAGCGACTGGCCGGCCAACAGGTGAGCGAGTTAATTTGCCAGCAAGACAAATTGATGGCGATTGTGGAAAGGTTTTCTTTGTGTGTGCTCACAGGTAATAGTGCTGGTCAGTGTGTGTGTGCTAGTTGGGCGAGCAGATAAGCGGCGACTGCTTGAAAACGGATCAGAAACGTAACCACAGTGAAGTCTAGTTGGAAAGGTTTTGACAAAGCCATCTAGCCAAACTTAAATAAGGATTGAAACACACAAAGCGTATCTCTTAAAGTCAGATAATCTAACTTTGGGCATTAAAGAATTAGCCTAGAAGCGTAAAATAAATAATTTAAAATTCATTTCTAGAATTGTAAGCGAAATAATATTTTTCGTTTTGCATTTATCATATTCTTATCAGACAAGCCGTTCTATAAACGTTTCTGATCAGATTCATAGCAACAAAAATAAAATTCTTAACAGTTTAAAATCTATTGATTTGTGGTATTTAATAGTTTATAATTAGGAATATTCTACAGTAAATAAAGTTTAAAAATTCTCCTTAGAAAACGAATGAGGCAAGTAATGCAACAAGGACTTGCGGATAACGACATAATGGGTGTTTGACTATAAATACAAGTATTCTCGATTTCCTATTGGCAAAACCAACAATGAAAGAGAAGCCACAAACTTTATAAAAAGAAATCTTTTCAATAAGAAATAATTTTCTAGCACGAAAACCAATTTAAAGTTATTCCATAACAAAATCTACAAGTACAATATAACCTATTACCAAGCCCTATCGAAGTTATGAGCTCCGTAAAATGCCCAATTTGATATGGAAAAATTCTGATAAATAAATAGCTTAAACTCACCTCCTGTGTGATGTCCAGTTCGTGGCGTGTGTTGTCATAGAGCGTCTCCAACTCCTCGCACTTGTGCTGCAGGGCGGACTTCTCCTCCAGCAGGGATAAGCCATATTGGGCGGACTGGGCGCTGGCAGAGGAGACCTGGTCAAGTTCCCGCGTTAGCCGCTCCACCTCCATGCGCAGATCCTGCAGCGTTTGGCTTTGGCCATCCGAAGAGGCACTATCCGGACCACTGGGTGTGGACATGATGATGGATCACTTGGTGGGGAATTGGGGATTAGGAATGGAGGATTCCGGAGGCGAATGGACGGTACAGCTGCCCGTGGGCGTGGCAGGTGTGTAACTCTCGTTGTTCCTGTTGTTTTCCTGGGCGGAATCTTGGATTTGTGCTGGCGCTTAGCTCACTCCTCTGTTGTATTTGGTTTTTTGGAGGGAAATCGATAAAAATCCGATAAAAGTTTCTATTGTGTTTTTGTTTATGCCGCCGGACTCGGAGTGAGTTTTTCTTGTTGTTGGGTGTGAAACCCCACTCAACTCCACTCGCGGTGTTGTTCGTTGGTATGCGTGCGTTTCACCTTTTCTCTTTTCAGTGTGTGTGTGTGTGTGTGAGTTGGTTCTCTGCTTCCCCTTCTTCTCCCGCAAAATAAAAGCGAAGCATATGTGCGGGGCACTTAATGACCAATTATCCGTGTGCTTTTAACGGCGAATAATTCAGCACAACTGGCAATATCCATATGCAAATACCAGCTCCAGCGCGTGTTGCACTCACTCACACTGGCACTCACTCCCACACGCACACAGTGGCGCTAAAAAACAGTTGGCAGCAGCAGAAAATCAGCAGCAGCACAGGAAGTTGTTTCAATTAACTCGAAGGCAGCAGCAGCGGGCAGAAGGCAGCCAGCAAACAACACAGTCAAAATGACATCACACAATTTCCACTTTCGTGGGAGTTACTGCCCATTTCCCCGGGCGCTTTCCCTCCGCTTCTGTTTTGTGAGCGTTTTCTCGTTGCACAATTTGGGGAATGCTTTGGCCTAAACGGTTTCAGTTTCCGATGGAGGCGGAATTTCCAAGCAAGTGCAAAAACAAAAACTTAATCCGAATCACGTCCGATTCTTGCAGTGTTTTGTGACGGAATCTGGTGGCAGCAACAACAACACACAAAAACAATGAGGTCGCCTTTTATTACTGAAAATACACCAAAAAACAAACGAGCCAGTTGGTCACACTTAAAAACCAAACATTTTATTTGGGATTTCAGCAACAATTGCTTGGTATTTTCGGTAAATTTCGATAATAATGGAAATAGACGAGGAAAAACCGCATGTTGTTATTAACTTTTATAATTAATAAATAAAAACCTTTTAACACACCGCCCTTTCCGCAGGCTGCCATTGCGGAGAACCCCAATGAGAACGTGATACGTGAGCGCAACGCGGAGATCGTCTCCGGCGGCAATGTCTTCTACAATCCTGTCCAGGAATTCAACCGGGATCTGAGCATCGCCGTGCTGAACGTCTACTACCGGCGATTGGCCAAGGAAAGGAGCGAAAAGGCTCTCAAAAAGCAGCGAAAGAAGGTGAAAGATAACCAGACGGAAGAGAAACCCGAAACTGAGGTTCCAGAAGATCCGCCTGTCTATGTGGCAGGCACACGCTATGAGGATGGATTGCGGATCCTGGAGGCTCTGGCGGCCACCGGGCTGCGAAGCATCCGCTATGCCCAGGAAATCGCTGGCGTCCGTCAGATCGTGGCCAACGATTTGTCCCGACAGGCGGTGGCGTCCATCAACACGAATGTGCGGCACAACAAGGTCGAAGAGCTGATCGAGGCCAGCCACGCGGATGCCATGTAAGGGAAGAAATATATTTCAAGAAAAGTGTTTATAAAAACTTTATCCTATAGGACTGTTATGTACCTTTCCACGGCCCCCGAGAAACGCTTCGATGCCGTAGACCTTGATCCGTATGGATGCCCGAATCGCTTTTTAGACGGCGCTATGCAGTGCCTTGTGGACGGTGGCCTTCTGCTGGTGACCGCCACCGACATGGCCGTGCTGGCCGGCAACGCTCCGGAAGCCTGCTATGTGAAGTACGGCTCGGTGCCGCTGCGAATGAAGTGCTGCCACGAGATGGCATTGCGTATTTTGCTGCACTGCATCGAGAGCCATGCAAATAGGCATGGCAAGTACATCGAGCCACTGCTAAGCATCTCGGCGGACTTTTACATTCGCATCTTTGTGCGAGTGCACGTGGGACAGGCGCAGTGCAAGCTCTCGATGAGCAAGCAGTCGTGGATGTACCAGTGCACTGGCTGCGAGACCTTCACCCTGCAGCCCTTGGGCATAACGAAGCCCAATCCCACTGCTGGGAATCCGCAGCAGCTCAAGTTTGGCATACCCACGGGTCCGGCCGTGAACTCGCAGTGCGAGCACTGCGGCCACAGGCACCACCTAGGTGGACCCATCTGGTCAGCGCCACTGCACAACCCGGAATTCGTTCAGGATCTGCTAAAGGCAGTTCAGGAGCCGCCGCTGGAATCCTTGGGCACCCAAAGAAGGATTGTGGGAGTGCTGTCCATGGTACAGGAGGAGCTGCAGGACGTTCCGCTGTATTACACGCCGGACAAGCTTTGTTGCGTGCTCAAGCTGGAAATTGTGCCCATGCTGAAGTTCCGCTCTGCCATTCTGCATGCTGGCTACCGTGTCTCCTACTCGCATGCCTCGAAGAACTCTCTGAAGACGGACGCCCCGCCAGCGGTGCTGTGGGATATCCTGCGTTGCTGGAGCAAGCGACATCCGGTTAATCCGGATCGGATGATTCCTGGCACTCCATTACAGGCCATACTATCGAAGCCATGCACCAAGGACTACGAGTTCGATGAACTTCACCCGGCCGCCAATCCGAAGAGCCGTAAATCGGCCTTATCGCGCTTCCAGGAGAATCCCACGCCGCACTGGGGACCAGGAACCAGGGCCACCATTATGTAAGCTTGTGACTTTCACTTTAATTAGTATAACTAACTTTTCTCTCTCCCTTTCCAGGATTGGAGACAACAAATTGCCCAAGAGCTATAAGAACCAGAACAAGAAGCAGCGTCACAAGGCTTCGCAACAGCAGCCAGGCAATGGGGATCAAAAGGATGAGCCAAAACAACCGGAAATTGAGGATGATAGTGATGCGGAGCACTTGGCCAAGCAGCCCAAGCTGGAGGCGACTGCGTGACGGCTGCTCCTAGCCATTAATTTATTCAGGAATCCAAAAACAAAACTAACGAAATTATCTGGAAAGGCGAAAGTGTGTCTAGTAGCGGAAGAAGTTGCCGTCGGAGGTCTGGCGCGAGAATCCATTATTGACCAGCTGGTTGTGGACGCCGCTGCAAATTAGCTTGGTGCTGTGTGGATGAATTTTCTCCTTGCAACCACCTAAGAAAAGTAGAAGGGATTGGATAAAAGAATCAATTTGTGTTCATAAATATTTTTGTTCATTTTGACTTTAAAAAAAGTAAAACAATTAAATTAGACGTTTTGTAAAAAAAACAATTACTATCTTTTTTTGTTAAAGATAGCAAAGATCAAGAAATAAAGCTAACTTCGTAGAGCCGTAATGCATATACCCTTGTAGTTTGCATAAAAACGAACACACTTGGTTAGATCGACATGGTTTTCGATGCTAATCAAGAATATAGTATATATCTCATGAGGGCAGAAATTCATACCGACTAAAATTATAATACCCTGCAAGGATAAAAAACAAACCCCACTTACCAATACGCAATGGGTGGCCCAAAGCGTCCTCCTGCATACGGCGAATCATACGCGTGTTCCGCAGCACCCGGAACGACTTGTGCCGTGCCCCTATTTCATTGGCTGCTCCAGGAGCCGACCAGCTTGAAATTGCCCGGCACGTCTCCCGCTGCATCACATAGTCGACCTTGTCCGGAAAGGCCTCTCGGGTATGGTCGTACCGTGACTGCAGCTGAAAGTCTAACGTATCCTTTGGGATGTTTGGATTAGCGCGAAATCGCTTGCTGGCACGCACCGAGTTCATAGTCTGATGGTAGAAGAGCCGCTGGTGCGGCTCCAGATGGCCATACCAGTTGCCGGTACGCAAATGGGGCTCCGCCGCCGGTGGCTCCGGAAAGGGGCACACATAGGTTCCCTCCGTATGGAGGTCCGGCTGCCTAGGGATTGCAGTCAAATGCCAAGTCCAATCAGGTGAGTATAAGGAGCTTACCAGGACACATTCTTAACCACGACCGTATCATACTGGATCATCTTGTTGACCGAGAACTCGATTTCCTTGCTTGTCAATCAAATTTGGTGCGAAAGTGTGTAAGATCCGATAGGGCTATACAAACAGGTCGTGTTCGAATCTCAAATGTGTGTGGGGATCTGACTTTTGGTATCCCGGCTAATGTTTTGTCAATAAAAAACTCGTCTACCAGGTTACGGATGTCAATGGAAACAAATAAACGAACAAGCAACTCCTTTAACCTTAACATTTTCATTGGGTATGCCAAAGAATAAACAATTTCCACTATCCCCCACAATAATTAAGAGTCACTGTTTATATTTTTAAATAGAAAATATGTAAATCTTTATTGAAATTTTCTTTTATCTGAAAGCAAACTTGGTTAGTAGTCAGAACTCACCCTTTTTTGAGACCATTTAAGAAACCCCTCGGATTGTTGCAGAACGGTCGCATCCTCTCCAGCTTCAATCGCGATTGTCCTTGTCCTCAGCTGGAAATGTTTATTTTTTTTTCGCCTAAAGTCAAAAGGGACGCCCACCAAGAGACAGGAAACCACCAAGAACGCCAACCAGCAACAAACGACGAGACGAGATGAGACGAGACGAGAGAAGAGGTGACAGGAAACGACGGCAAACAGGAAACTATGATCAAAAGCTCTGCTCCCAGAGCTCCCAAGCTGAGCTCCAACAGCAGCAGCGGCAGCAGGAGTGTGACTGTGGCAGCGGCTAACCGGAAACAGGAAACTGCAACGGCAACAACATCGGCGGCAACAGCAACAGCAGCAGCATCAGCATCAGCTTCAGCAACAGCAACAGCGGCCAAGCGATGTCCGCTCCCGGGTAGTTAGGAGTTGTAGCTACGATGGTGCGCGCTGCTGCTGATCCTCCCTCTCGCGATTTAACCACAATCTTATCTGAACCGCAACAACTGCCACACACCATTGCCTGCATGTATAATAATAAACATGTGGGAGAAGCTTGTTAATAAGTTTTGTCGTTAAAAGGTGCACAGAACGGAAATCGAACGGAACGAAACAAACAGAGAGTTGTCCTAACATCCCCACTCCCCATCCCTTTCTTCTTCCTTTCTCATCTTTCTCCTTCTCCTCCTTCAGCTGTCATCTTTGTTCGATAAGTACGCCATGGTATATTGAGTTTATTGTTTTGTTTTGTATCTGATTTTGTTCAAGGATCGCTGCTACTAGCTACTAAGTGTATCAAAAGCCTAATCTGAAAGAACTAACATCAAGGGATCGCATCGGTCCGAGGATCGGCCTCGAAACATAATTTTTGCGTGTTCTCCACTTAATTTTTCTCTGCCGAAACTTAAAATAGTTCGCTATAAATAGTTGTGTAAAGTGTAAGACTGTTCAATGGTTTGTATACCTGCTGTTCGGGTACAGCATGACACAGGATGAGAAGCCCATCGTATCCGGTTTTTGGATCGGAATCAAAAAGTGGGCCTTGTCAGCGAGCCATATCTAAATAGGGAAAAGTTATCTTGTAATAAGTATAGCCAACTTGGCACACTGAAAACTCACCTCGCACTCTCCACATGTTGGAACGTATTATTTCTTCATTTAGGAGCGACTGCGGCTGCGGGAAGCGGCCGCGCCTAGACCTCCAGCGGCTCCTCCTATCCCATTGCGGCTATCCCCACGTACTGGACTGCGCGAAAACTTGGAGCGGCGCTCTGGAGAATGGCTGGTGGCCGAGCGAGACCTCGAGCGCGGTGAATAGGAGCGACGACGCGGACTGCGCGAACGACGGCGGCTCATCGGGGAGCGGGAGCGAGAGCGACGACGTGCTCCACCTCCGGAACCTCCACCGCCAGCACCGCCTCCACCGCGACGGCTGCTGGTGCTGCGTGTGGGCGACGACGGGCGACCATAACGGGCCATCTGGACACGGAGCTCCCTGCCGTCCAACATGCGACCATCCATGGCGTCGAGTGCGTCCTCAGCATCGCGTTTGTCATAGAAGCTGAAAGAAGAGCGATTATAATGCTTTAATATGCAAATCATTGTATTCAAGAACCTAAATTACTAAATAATCAATTGTAGGGTTTCACAGTATGTTGGCTAGCAGGGTTTTGGTAGGCAACAGTTGCAAGTGAACACAGTCGCTCTGGCATCGTTTTGCTAAGGAATATATACAGACTGAAAGCTGATATATATTAAAAGAGAGCAAATATGCGAATGAAATATTTTGTATTTTGATCGAAAATGTATATCAAACATCTGGGACTTCCTTTGATTTGATATGAAAACTATCCTTAATTGTAATGGTAAATTTATACAATTAACTGTCGTATTCTCAGTATGTTGGCTAGTAAAGGTTGAGTAGGCAACAGTTGCAAGTGAACACAGTCGCTCTGGCGCATTTTTGCTAAGGAAAATGTATAGATTGATAGCTAAAACATCTTCTATAGTTAGCAAGTAATGTGCGCATGAAACAAGGCAACTCATATAATATTCTTATACAACATAAACTACTTAAATTTAATTATAGTATTGTTGTATTCTCAGTATGTTGGCTAGTAAAGGTTGAGTAGGCAACAGTTGCAAGTGAACACATTTGATCTGGCACTAGTTTTGCTGTGGAAAATGTTCAGAGATTGAGCTGAACATCTTCGAAACATGCAAAAAGTGCAGATTTAATTGAAAAGTAAAAGGAAAACGTGAAAAATGGAATATGGTGAAAGTAGTCTTTATGAAAATGATGGTGAAAGTGCTTTGCATATAACGCAGTTATTTCCTAGACATAAACAAAGTTTCTTATCTCAGCTTAATATCAAAATTCTCGGAATCTATAGATGTTCAGGAACCCCCTTCCCCAAACAAAAAAATGCAAGAGAAGAAAACCCAAAAAAGACTTACCGCACAAAGGCGAATCCACGACTCTCACGTGTGTAGCGATCCCGCGGTATGTAGATGTCACCAACCTCGCCGCAGCGCTCGAAGACACGACGCAGATCCTCCGGCGTGGTGCGGTATGTGAGATTGTCGACCTGCCGGATATAGATGGATATTTTTAAACCTTGATATTACCTTGCATGCCGGAAAAAATAGGTTATCTAACAACGTCGCCAGCCGGCCGCCATTTTGGAAGCCGTTCCCTCTCTTTTTCCCTGTGGTACTTGCCTTCAGCGACACCATGCCGTCGATCCTGGGGGGCGGGCGAGCTCCGCCCAATCCCCCGCCACTGCCACCGTTGCTCATATCAATCGTGATATCTTTTTCAACTCGAAATACACGAGTTGCTGATTTAAGCAAAGAATTTCTCTTCCTTTTTCGCTTCTGCTAAAATGGCGTCTGACACGAACTAGAGATGGCGATACGTCGATGCCAACATCGATGACAGCGATGTTTTCGAAACATCGAGTATGTCGATGTTTGCCAGGGCATCATCGATATATAAAATCACTACAATACCGTTTATTTGTTCTTTTAGCTATGTAGCTATTGTTTTTTAATAATATTTTCCTAATTTTTTGTATTATTTTAGCTTTTTTAATTTTGTTCTCAGAATCTGTTATTCGTGAGTTCATTACTGAAAGCAACACAGGCTGGCTACAATGAACGCGGAAACAAACGTTAAAGATGGGTTCCAAATAACCTACATATATGAAATGGTTTTTTATAATTTTATTTTTTTTTTTTATAACAATTAAAATCATTAATTTTTCTTTAAATTTCCGTCTACTTGGCTTGAGTTTTATTGTTAGTTGTTATTTGTTTAGACTTGTCAAGTTATAGGGTCTTCCCACACACCGTCAAAGCGCATCTGGCATCCGTTGAACAAACGGTCCATAAGGTTTTGCCGTTCCGAATTTTCTCAATTGGCCCTGCATCAAAGCGCATCTAAATGTAACGACCGTTTGTTTGGCGATAGTTCTTCGGTGCAACTCTGAAAATTTGACCATCACTACGAAAGTGTATACACACTTGGCGAGAAACAAATGAGATATGGAATTTAAAACGTGGCGCCAAAGCTACAAGCATGCCCAAAATAGATGTTGGCGTTTTTTCGGTATATTCTTGCCCCAATATGTCCCCAATTGTTACTATTTAATATAAACCGCCTACCTCTACCTTATTTTAAAGATTTTGGATGCCTATACCACCTATAGACACTTTTCGGTGAATTTGCTCTTTGTTAGAGAAAAATCATTAGAAAAACTAAAATTCCTTGTCATTTAAGTCATTTAAATTTATTGCGGATAAATTCTGACGCAATCTGTGCCTTTTGCTGTTGTACAACAGCCAAAATAGTTGGTAAATGCTCCATTTCAAATTTGCAACTGCCAATTCGACCGCCTTTGTTTACGTTTTCATGAGCCACAGCTGATCGATCAGCTGTTCGGATGCAGATGCACTTTGATGCAGCTCTGTGGGAACACGAGTTTCGCATCTGCGAAAAATCCCAAACGTTCCTCACAGATGCGCTGTGTGGGAAGACAGTATTAGCTGCTTTTTAAAAAATGCAACATATCGTAGGTCCCACTGTAGAACGTGCTATCGATAGTCCGATAGAATCAACCACGTGTGACAACCCTGTTTCGATGCGTGGCTTGAAACGTGTAAAAATAGTAAATTTCTAAATAAAGGTGTTGCATTTAGTGTCCAGGTAGTCGAATCGCACCTGCAGGTCACCAGGTGGTCACTGCCGATAGCCGTAGCATACAATTCGATAGCCAAAAGCGAGGAGCTGCAAACTGCTCTCACACCAAGTTGGCCAGGCTACAACAAACAACACTAAAACATAACATTAGTATAAACCGAATCGAAAGTCTGGCTCAAACCCCGCGTCGCGCCCCCATCCGGCCCCACTGTTTTTGTAGCGCCATTCGCACAACGAAGCGCATTCCAAGCGACCGCGTGTGTTCTGTGTGAGTGCGGGAGCAGCAAGAAGAAGCAGCGCAGCAGCAGAAGTTGTTGGAGGGCGAAAGTGTGTCGCGTGAAAAAAGCGAGAGATTTTCATCGGTTGAAAAAGGAAAACAGTACCACAGGGAATGGCTGCGCAGGAAAACACGGAGATCAGCACAAAGTTCTCCACGCTGAACGTGAACGCTGTCGAGTTCGTGCCCAGCTTCAGCTACAGCGTGGCCGCGGCGGCAGCGACGGTGGCAGAGGCGGACGCGCCGCCCCCACCGCCACCCGTGGCCACTGATCCGGCCTCAGGATCCGGATCCGCCACACCAGCCACCACACCCGACTCCACTGGCAGCGGTGGATCCACAAATGCTCTGCCAGCAGCTGCGGCAGCGGCAGCTCCTCCTCCTGCGCCAGCGGCGGCAGCAGCAGCGGTCACCTCCTCCAACTCTGCATCGCCAGCGCCGGGTTCGCCCGCAGCGACAGCGGCAGCGACGCCCGTGGAGAACCTCAACGCAAACAATGGTAAATAGCAGCCAGCCCCAAATGTACCAACCAACCCGACACAACCCCCTCCCAATCCCTACGCCCCACGTCCATTGAACTCTTCCTCTGTGACGTCAACAAAGCAGCGTGTTATTGTTGCTACCTGCTGGCACGCAGCGAGCGACAGCAGGGAGGTGAGAGGTCAGCGGCCCAGAGGATGGGTAAATGGGGGAGAAGGAACAAAGCATTGAGACGCAGGCGAAAGAAAGGTTGCATTTGCTGTGCTTAGGTTATTATCGGCAGCACATAACCTCAATCTGCGTCGACGTAGCAGTCGGCGTAGCATGTGTTGCTCGCCCCATTCTCGCGTTCGTGTGCATATTATTCTGCAGTTAGGGCAAAGCGGCTAATCGCTTTTACCAGCGCAAAAACAATCACTGGTCAGGGCCTTTCTTTAGTTGCTTTTCATGTCGTCGTGTCGCCAAACGCGGTGTCTCATCGCAGCGATGCGCAATGATCTGCTTAGAAACGGTGCGCTACACAGTCACGGTTTTTAAGTCACTGTTTAAAATGAATCAAAATCTTATGTTTATCTGCATTGTATCATTTTAAGTAAATTTTCAACAAAAGCTTTGTAATTTAAGTGGGGCTTAGATTCATTTTCCTAAAATAGTTACTTGTTATTTTAAAGATTTTTTGGCTACTTTTAAAAATAACTGATAGGGAATTCCATTTAAATTTCAAGATTAATAATGCAGAATTTCCAAAAAACTTAATTTGGCTAGTCTTTTTAAATATTTTGGAGGAACAGTCGTACAAAAGCCGTAATAATTATGAACTTTAAATATTTTTTAATTAACCCAAGATCTTCTTTGTTTATTTTTTTATAAGGAACTGTTTAGATCTTCACTTCCTATATTTTCCTTTAATTTTTGTATTCTGAACCGAGCTTAAAAAAGCGTTTTTAAGTCATTATCATCATGACTTCACGATCACAGGATATCTTGCAAATTGCGCATTTCTAATGTTTCCCCCCCCCATTCATTTGCTATTCTCCCGGCGACGTTGACGAGCAGCTGTTTGCGTTGCCATTTTACTGCCTCTACGCTTTGTGCCAACGTTTATTTGGCCATTTGCCTCACACACACACAACCAATGCTCCCCCCATTCATGTGTTTTGACACGTTTGCGTTTCTGCCAGCCGTTTATTGGAGCCTATGCTGCGTCCAGCTTCGCTGTGCTGACTGGACTGGTGGCCTCCGTTCAGCTGGTGCTAGCGCTGGCTCTGGCTCACTCGTTATCGCAGCGACTCCACCGTACACAGTTGTTGCTTTAATGCTTTTGTTGGTACTGTTGTATGTGGCGGCTGTGGCTGTTTGGCCCGAATGGAAGCGCTTAGTGCAGCTCGCCGGCGGTTGAAACCGCTTCGAACTTGATTCTAGCGTTAGTTGTGCGGCAGGCAGGAAGGCTGGCAGCCAAACCAAACCGACGAAAAAATGTGAAAAGAGCGCGTCGTCGATTTGGCGCTGTTGGCTTTTATACTTCCGCGCGATCGCAACACGCTCGCGTATTGGCTCCTGTTACTGCCATAGATATATTGTTAAATCCTTATTAAACACATGTGTAAATATGAGTAAGGGCGCCGGGTCTCGTTACATTTACTCCAAGCAGCCATCAAAGTCCTCGTGGAGAACAAGTTAGTAGTCAACTAAACACGGAATGAGCTTCTACGCCAGCAGTTTAAATCCCGCCAACAAGGCCAACTACGGTGTCCGGTAAAAGGTTCGGGATCCAGTCCACTAGCCAACTACATAGCAACCTTCACCAGCACCCGAGCACGCACGTTGTCACCCGGCACGGCACTCCAAGCCGGTCTACAGGCACATGACTCATCCGTCATCCAACTGCCTGGCTGGCTGGCTGTCCGGAGTCAGTAATTAGCAATTAGCATGTGGCTGTCAGGTCAAACAGAGCAAGTGCATGTGCCAGTAACTAACTAATCTAACCTGTATACAAAGTATACCTTTCAGCGCCAAGTAGTTATAAAAACAGGTCCCCCTGAGAATGATTACAACTTGACAACTTGCATAGAAATCCCACAAGGCTAATAAATTAAAATTCTCCACAAGTACTCCCATGAGGTTCGATTCACTACAAGTCGACCTAAATTTATAGCTAGAAAGCCAAGGTATTTGAACAGTTGTCAGTTCTCTGTGTTGAAATTTAATGATATAATAAATCGTAGGAATAAAGCTAAATTTCTAAGTAGAGAAGCTTCTTTAATGTTGAACTGTCTCTATATAATTATAGAAATTACTTTGTTGATGTTTTAAAATGTATTTAAAACATCTTTATCGATTTGCCTTATTGTACGCCCACTGTAGTTTAGAGTTTATACAGAGAACCACTAAAAGATACAAAAAAAGATACTCTTGCAATTGAAACAACGAATTCAGCATTAAATACATCTCCAGAGTGTCAGCAACAACTGAAACATTTTGTTATTCAAATAATAGCTTTTCCTTGTAAATATGTATATCAGACTGCTCCTTATCTCTTTTAAGAAAAAACTATGTGTTGTTATAAATTCAAAAATAACATTACATTTCAGATTTTTCTGAAATCCATTTACTTTTTCCGTTTAAAACTAGATTCATCCAGTGAATGATTATTTGTGACAATATTTTATGGTCGCTCTTGAAGTATTTTAACCTAATATGTTAATTACCACTGAATAACATTTACTTTTCAATTATTATTGTTGTTACAATCACTACTTTTCAGAAAGTAAACGTGTTTCTTGATCCATTTTGAGAAACTATTTTCAATACAAATAAGTAATGGCATCAAATTTCGTTCTTTTCGAATTGCTATGATCTCTGACACACTATTTCCTATACACCTTCTCCAATGGCATCACCCAAACACCTTGAAACTCTCCATTGTAAATATTTAAACTAACAACAATCTATGTACATATTTTCTCATTTAG